AGGCTTCGGTGGCTTCGTAAGTACGAGGACTCAATATGAAGCCTCAATACCTGATGACCCCTGCTTGCCCCTTGCAGTCCTTCTTTGTTTAACTGCTCTTAAACTTCTTAAACAGATGCCTATACAGATGGCGCCCTCGTTACTCTAGTCGTGCCTTCACGCCTAATCTCGCACGTAAACCCACAGTACTCGACAGTAGATACCCACAGCCAGCCTGAGAGTTTCTCAGAATTGGCGCCCCTGGTGGGTTCTATCTTAAGCATCTTGGGTCGGGTTTTTTGAAACTCTCCCGCGTGCATGCCACGGACCTTTCTCGGCAAACGCCCCACCCGGCTTGGAACATGCTGCCGATCATCCCGGTGCTTCCTCAGGCGGGGCTCCTCCCAGAATCCAGTTGCGGTTGAGGGTTGAAAACCACTTGTCTGCGGGTAGTTCGTGTGTGTGTGTGTGTGTATGCATGAATACAAAAGTGACTGTATGTATATACACATGTACACTATGCGGCCCCGTGCTTCGTGAAGCCCTGCATGTGCAGATTGCTGCACCTGAAACCTGCAACCCAGGCCACACAACAGCGACGCCTGCGCCGCCAGCGACCCAGCTCCAGGCCTGGCCGAGGCCAGGAAAAAGGACTGACCGTCTCAAGCAAGTATGATGGCCTTGCGGTGGAGACGACGACATCCCCGAATCTGACCGCTTGCTGCAGAACGCAGAACTTGCATCGTCTTGCAAACACTGCGCTGCGTCATGCGGACACAGATCTCCGGCGTGTCATAGCGCCTTGGTTGAAGGTCAGATCACTCCACTTGGTAGACTATGCCTCTCAGCGTATATGTCTGGAAGCGGATATCCTCTAAGCGCAGGATTTCTGATGCATCCACAGAGGCGCTGTCCGTTGACACAAACATGTGTCGGCCAGAGCTTGCTCACCGCTTCGTGAAGCTGCAGCAGAGCTGTCGACAGCGAGGCCTGACGCGGACCGCAGCAGAAAGGGACAAAAGCGCCCAATTTAAGCACCCGACCCGACCCGCCTTAGGAGAGCTGCCGATGATGATCCTCAGCATGGATTCTGTGGCAGAGCCATAGCCGACATCGGGGTCCGTGGCGCAATACTCCGTGACAAGACTGGCACCAGCCGCAGCCTCCACGATGCAAGTAGCCCTGCCAGGACAGAGGTCNNCCTTTGACAGTCGAGAGGCCATGCGCGTGTCAGAGGAAGTTGCATGCAGGACAACCCCGCACCACTAGCAACCACACAGGCAGACCCAGCGTCGCATAGCTTAGCAAATCCCTAAACCCATCTTTGGACATATTTTTGAGGCAAGGCACAGGAAGGACCCGCAGCCGGAAATTCGCCTACAAGCAGCCTCCAAGACGGAAGCTCGGAGAGGTACATTGCGCAATAGCTCCGAGTACCTGACTGCAGCCACTGCCGCCGCAACGTAGTCCGACTGAGTCCTATCCACGAGGGAAACTGAGACGGCCACTGGGCGAACTCCAGCGTGCGACAGCTCTCCAGCAGCCGACTGTTGCGCAGGTAGACGCAGTTTTGCGCCAGCTTCAGTTCGACCGTGCACTCAGAACCGAAGCCGGATGGCACCTGCTGCGGTCGCGGCAGCATGGCCGCAGTCATGAGACTCAAGGGAAAACATATCTTCCAAGCGTCTGTATAGTGCGTGCGAAACTGCTCCATGTCAAAGGGCACGTTTGGGTGCCGCGCGAAGTACTCCTGAACACACTCACCCCATCCCACCCCCTGCGAAGCAATCGGAGCCCAGAGCAGCTAGGGGCAGGGACCGCAAGAGCCTGAGAAAGGCCGGAAGCAAACGCAGCATGCATCCGAGAGTCCGCAAGCTGCGGGCATCGCAAGCGTCCCTGCAGCCAGAGCGCAATTGGCAGGAGCTCCGGCGACACCTGTCGCAGCCAGTCCTGTCGCATAAGTTCCAACGGGTGCAGCTGCAGGAGCTGGAACAGTTGCTCCACGCTGACCTAGAAGAGGCACGGGGGCCAGGAGCGGGCGAAGCAGGGGCCGAATCAAAAAACCCTGCTCGCCAGGCGGCAGATCGTCTCAGCAGGTGGTTGTACTTCCTGCGCCAGTCCTCTGCCTTGCTGGCGTCTTCGTCGCTTGCTAAGGACAGAGGCGGCGTGGAAAACATCAGCCACTTCACGAAAGTGCTCGTGCGAAGCGATGTCTTGGAACCTGCGCAGCGACAATGAAGCAGCGCTGAAATCACGAAGATAGACCATGTGCTGCAGCGACGAGCTAGACCATAGCACTTACGAACAGGGAAACTCTGGCGGGAACCTTTGCCGATCTGAATGTCGTCAAGGACGCCCAGCTCGAGCACCCCTTCCGAAAGAAGCCACCGTCGAACCATATAGCTAGCGACGTGCAAGGCGCAGACGTGCAAGATGGTCGCTCTGCCAGTTTGCAGACCCACCATCCTGGACAGCAGCCCTGCGCCAACCTGGCAGGGAGCAGCAGAGGCTGGAGGTCACTGGCCTGGCGGCCTGTACTGAGGCGTAAGAAGGCCACCTGCGATTTTTCCTTGCTCGTCTTCTTCGCAGACTGCTGCTGCTGGCGCTGTTGTTGCTGCGGCCATCCTTGCCGCAGGCGCAGCTGTTTTCTGTACGACCGCACGGCCTTGGCAGAACGGAAGACGGGAAGTTCGGCTGCCACTAGACGCGCGTTCAGGTTCCTGAAAGCGCTGTCGCTGCAAGGACGGCCTGGCGGAAGGACCTGCCGAAGGCAGACTGCACCGACAGCTGCGGATAGAGCATGGGCCCTTTCAGTGTGTTTCGACCCGCCAGAGTTGGTGCTACCTTGACACATGTAAAACNNAAAACCCAGCAACATGCTATGCAAGATCTCAGGCTTGTCTTCTCCATAGGCAGGAAAGGCAACTTCACCTCCTAAAGCACAACACGCCGGATAGCACGTGCATGTCTTCAACGCCGAAACCTCAGGACGGCTATGACCCGAACCCTCAAAGTCGGGAAACGTCTCCCGTAAGCAAGCCTTCAGGAAGACGGCATCAGTCTGTGTCACGACAGCGGCAGTACGCCGTAGATGCGAGGCGGGCCGTTTCCGCGGTTTCGCCATTTTCCTCATGTTTGTTATGTCTCTGTCTGTGTCGGGCAAATTCAGGGCTTTGGGCCTGAGTAGCTTTCAGGCGTTGAAAGCAGGCTGCTCACTGCTTCGAAGGCTTGGGTTTGTTTAAGAGTTTATGTTCCAGAGACATGTTGCTTGGCCCCCCCTACTGGTCCAGCTGAGTTGCAACGGGGTCTTGCAGCAAGCGAACCTGGAAACCTTGATAGGATGGAGACAAGAGCAGGTAGACCCGAGATCTTGAAGACCACAAGGCCCAGCAGGCCAAACCTGAAGATCAAGGCCCAGCAAGCCCGGAAACCTCAAGATCAAGGCCCCCTAAGTCATAGAAGCCTGGACCCTAAACTTAAATCCTGAACTCCGAAACTATAAAAAGCTGAAACCCTTAAGTAAAGCCTAAACTTCAAGCCTGTGTATCCTAAACCTTACAGAGCCTAGGAGAATTGATGTTTGGATCCATACCAAGCCCAACTCCGAAATGCTTACCCCCTAGAAGGCAAAGATGACCGTCAGGTCCATTCAAATATATGTGTATGCCGATTACCGGGACTGTGTTCAGAATGGCCAATCCCACAGACTACCGTGAGACTCC